AAATTAATTGATCTAATTTAAATGTTGTATAATTCATTTTTAGTTGGGATATATAAAAATGTAACTAATCAATTTCAACAGGATCTGTTGCTATGCATCATTTTTAATATTTGCAAACTTAAAATAATTTCATTTGTGTCAAGTTTGAAAAAAGGCCAAATGTTGCCTTGTTCAATGAAAAGAAACATGAATGTCAATGTCAAAATATTGGATTAGAGGCCAGAACAAATTACGATGTGAAAAATTAATGAGCTTATAAATATTATCTTGTATCTTCATGAGCATTTATTTATTTCAATTCCACATTATGTTTAGGCAAAACTATATCAGTGTGAAAACTTTACATAACTTATTAAAATTATTAATTATTAAATACTTATTAATGGTTATTAGTTCTAATTAATTTATTTATTACTTATTATAAAAGTATTAAAATCGTATTAATCTTTACTATTTGGATTCCTGTTGAATTAAACAAATAATTCGAGTCTCATTACTTACTTCTTAAAGTTAATTAATTTACCTTAAGGTAGATGTTTCTTTTGCCAATATAATAAGTATGTATTGTTGTGCATGTCCCTAGGTGTTGGGTTTACCTCCATCATTAAATCATTTAAGTACTTGAATGAAGAAAAAGTACATATATTATATATACATACACATATCAGTCAACTGTTTTGTGAATATGACTGTTTGACAGACTCTATGACAGAAACGTTGTTAATATTTTTAGGTTGAGCCTAATTTAGTTGTAGTATTTGAAGATAAATGGATTAATCAAAAAGCTGTACTACATTCTAAAAACTAGAACACATCATCACTATAACTCATCAACATACTCATAATGATACATGATATCTCTATTTTGTATATTAATTTATTTTTTTCAACAAGATCTTAAGTTTTAACAAAAACAAAAAAAAAAGAATGAGTTGCTAAACTATTTATATTAAACTATTTAATCTTACATGAAAATGTGTATATTTCCTGTGAATATGTATTAATTATTTCGCTTATGAAAACATAATATAAATTTATGAGAAAATTATCATCTATGAATAATTGTATCGTGCAGCCTTTATGTCTTTATTTTATTATGCCTGTTTTTATACTTAATATATTTAGATTATCTCATCATATATCATAATTAACTGCAACATTCTATTGTAAAACCCATGTGGTAAAGTAGTTAACTAGGATTACATATGTCCTCTTAGATTAATGCGGAATATCCTCTTCCATTTTTTAGTAATTGACTGTAACCTCTCATATTTATTGATAGTATATTATCAATATAGTAATAGCATGCTCCTAATATTTGGCTGGCCACAAATATCACCTAATTTTCATCGTAGATCATTTCATTGTTAAAAGCTGTGTTAAGACTTAAGACATAATTCTTATAAATTATGTACTGTTTTCGAATTTTCACTGAACTTCTATTAATGTTTTAATTTATTTTAAGCTAACTTGGGGGAAACATGTTCGCCCATGACTTGGAATTTTCAAAATTCTAGTATAGGAAACTGTTGTGTGCCATTGATTAAACTTTAAGAGAAATTTTCAACTTCAGTGTGACACACAGAATTAGAACTAATAGTGAATCATGGCTGGTGGGTTAAATTGTCTGAAAATAGTCTTTCATCAAATTCTATTTGTTAGATAGTCATTTTTCATTTTTCTTTATAAAAATTAAGAAATTCTGGTAGCTGTTTAATTTTAATAGTAATAGACACATAGTTTTTATAAAACTAGAATTAGACATGAGTCTAATTATAGACAATCCAATTTTTTGGTAAAACTATAACTAATAACATAAAATTATATATATTTTAATATTAGGCAAATACATAAATAGGATATTATACAATGTTTATGATTATTTGTTAGAAAGTAGTGTTTATATGGACTAAATGCATAGTTGGTAAAAAAATATAAAAAAATAAAATAAAATTTAAACATTTTTCTATACTTTTTTTAAAGGGGTTATTAATATGTTTTTGGGTATTTTCATTAAATTCACCAATTAACTTCAAAACTTCAATATAAATCAGGAATTTAGATTCTTAGATCCTCTAACTCTGTAATACTCTAACTATATAATGTAATCTAAACTATGTAAATACTAATGAGCTAATGTTTATTACTTCAAAAGTGTTGGTATCTTCATATGGGGCATAGAATTCTATACATAACAGTCTATTTTTCTAAATCCTTCATTGCTGCCTGCATAAGGTCACAGTACAATGTTATCGTTGTAAAGCTGATATTATCATGTTTTTTTTTTCACTGCCACTCAGATGCCTTTTCAAATATATTAATTTTAAAAAATCTTAACAAAAATTAAATTTACATGCATCTGACTTCAAAAAACATTTTGGATTTGGCTGGTTTTGGAAGACAATTAGAATGTTATCTATGAAATCATGTAATATTCAACTACATGTATTAATTTTATTAATTATTCCGTAATCTATCATATTTAGAAAAGGATAGATATCAAAACACATAAAAATATCAAACCATAAAAATGTTTCTTAAATATAAAAAACATTTTTTAAAGATTAAAATCTCAATACAATATTTATTGGTTAAAATAAAAAAGTAAGTTATATAACAACATTATGTGACATGAGCTATTTTAAACCTCACAAATCAAGTTAAATTATTTATTTTTTTTAAGTTTTCCTACCGTCAGTAATTATCGTTAATAAATTTGTATTTATTGGAAATTAATTGTAAGTTTTTTGTCACTATATATATGTTTGTCATTATAAATCTAAAAAATAATGATGGTGAACTAGAAAATGAGCCAATATGTTGTTAAAGTAAAATAAATTGAATACATTTTTAGAATTTCATTTACAAGGAAAATATTTTGCTAATTTTATTTTATTTTTTATTAATTATTAGTAATGTAAGTAGCTTTAGCAATTACGATCTTCCACTTGTTATTTATTTTATAATCTGTTAATGTTCCAGGGTTGTATCCTCGTTTTCAAAACATACCATGAAACATAAACATATTATAAAATAAAAAATAAATGATCAATGAAAATTGTTTTCCCTTCTAATTATATTATTAAAAATATTTATAAATAGAAAGTTTCTCTTCCAATTAACTCAATTAGTTGTATTTTTTATATGCATATATATAAATATAATAGCATATCCAGGATTTAAGTATAGGGGCAAGAATGTCTGTAGCTTTCATATTGGAGGGGCGGGGGGAGGCAAGATGGAAATTTTTTAAATTTAAATTTTATTATTATTACAATTTATAAATATTTTTTATATGGAATACAACTGAATAAATGAAAAAAAATCCATTTTGGGGAAGGGAGGAGGGGATTTCAGCCAGAAAGGCTCCTTCCCTTGGATCCGTCAGTACTTTTTCAAATATTTCGGTGACCTACAATTTTTCCAAAAATGGAGTGGAAAATGGAGGTAATTTCATGAAGTTTTCGATATAGATTATTACTTTAGTACCGACTAAAGTAATAAATCACATGATACATGTTATGTAAATATGTTACAGAAAGTTTAAAAATTAAATATTTTAAAGAAAAGTAAATAAATTAAAAAAAATATTAGAGATTCTGAAAAATGGCTCATGAAGCCGAAACGTTGGCAAATAAATAAATGCAATAAAAACGCATTTTATTGGTGACCTGTGGCTTAAAATCTATTAAATAAAATTACACCGAATATAAAAAAATATGACAAGAAAATGACCCTAACCCTTTCATTAATCATATATAGTTACATTAATTGCACCATTTTCTGATTTCACAAAGCGAAAATTCATCAAGTTATTTTTTTTTGAAATTATGAAATGTCACTTAATGACTGTTTGTAATAAACCGACGTTACATTGTATATATTATTTCTGAAATGCATTTTTTTTTTTTTTTTTCAAAACGCCATAATTTCGTCAATTCTTCATCAAATCCAATGATCCAGCCCTCATTTTAAAGATCTTCATCTTCAGGTGGGAAAAATAGTCATATTCCCCGAAAGAGGAAAAAGTTATTAAGGAAAAGAAATTTTATTTGCGAATAACTCAAAAATTAAAAAAAATTTGATTTATTTATTGTACCCATGATAATTAGAAATATCACTAAATTACCTATAAAACAAAACAAAAATACAGTCTATTAGTTTTGGTATACTTAATAATTTCTTCCTCTTTAAAAATACTGCATTTACAATTCTACTACCCTTTTTTCCTGGGTGATATATTCTTTATTATTTCTTAAAGGATTTTTTTTTTTGTATTTTTTAATAATTTCAAAAATCCCATGATCGATGCTTTATTCTGAATGTTACATTTCCAGTGAGCGTATAAAAATATGCCCTAGCAAAGTAATTTGTACAAATATTCTGGTACGCTATGTTAAATGGAATATTGGTATAGACCACTAGCGGATCCAGGATTAAATTTTGTTGGGGCTTCAGCCCGAAACCTTTTTTTTTTTCATAAAAATAACGATAATTACTTTGGAAAAAAAGAAAAAAACTAACTACCTATATGAAATGGTATTTAAGTTATTCCTTAAGTACTTTTAAATGTAATTACACGAACAATAATACTTTAAGAGGTATTTTTAAAAGATTTTTTCCCATAAAACATGGTTATATTTTTCGATTTTGGGGGGCTTCAGCCCGAAAGCCCCCCCCCCCCGTAGATCCGCCCGTGGTATAGACCAAGATAATACATAGGATCTACTTATTTCCATATTGTTTTGCTATACCTTCATTAAACAAAATTTTCTGCGAATTACTTTGGTTAAAATGAAATTGAGGGAAGGGGGGGGGACATGATTGAACAGCTGCTGAGATGATCAAGAAATTTTTACCGCTAATTTCCGTAGAAACATTTTCATAAGCATTTTCGTCATTTATTTAACATTATAAACGGAATAAATATCACGAGTTTTTTTAATTGAAAGATTGAAAATTGAGTATTATATCTTATCCATCGGTTCGATTATCTGTAGTGCACGAGAGGGCGAGTGCGACGGCGCGGCCGGGGAGTACCAGAGTGGTAGCCGCGACGCGAGAAGCCCCCAGCTGGAGGTGTGAAAGAGCTCTAAAGAAGCCTGGCCTAGCGAAAGATGGGACCTGGCAGGGGTTTGTCCTTGTGAAGAGAGTGGAAATCCTCGGAGGAGGAGAGACGGAGGAATCCAGGCGGGGTAGGTGTGCGGTGTTTGGAAGGAAGATCAATAGCAGAGAGGTGGAGTGACGTCACGCAGCAGGGAGGACTGAATGAGTGAAGTCGGATGGGGCGGTCCGGCCGGCTGGTCGCCGTGACGAGAGACTGGCATGTTGCTGACCGAGCCGGCCGCCCTCGACACTATGGCAGAGGGACCGGACCTCTCCCACCTCACCCCAGAGGAGAGGCACATCATCGAGTCCGTCATGATTAGGCACCAGCAGGAGGAGATGAGGGAGCACGAGATCATGAGGTAACTTAGCTCAGCTTCTTCTCTCTGAAACAGAACACAACAATTACATATATCAATATACGAACACAGCCAACAATTCTTTTTTCTACAAAAAAATTATCTTCTTTAATAGTGGCTCGATGTTACAGGAGTGAAATCCAAATTCAATAAAAAGATGTACGTCCTCCTGTATATATATTTTATTTTCTCCTTGCTACCCATTTCAGACCATACTAATATGATCCTCTGTTCTCCTGTTTGTCAGATGACTCACAGACAAGTCCTCTTCTGATAAGCTAGAGAAGTGGATCATCATAAATTAGCCCGATAAAAGATCGAAACCGGTAGCAAGGATATAACAAAAAAAATATAAATACAATAGAACATTTTTTTTATTGAATTATATAATTTGAGTGACTTGACTTTCCTTAAAACTCCTTTTAAAATAATCTCTTAATATTACCGCATGTTAACAACCAGCCCTAACCAGAGAGATAACGTTTCAACTTCATCTCTGCTTCAATTACTTTCCTGTAAAATTAACTATTTATTAAATTTAGCATCAATTGAAAACCATTTTCTCAAATCTTGAAGGAAATGGCCATATCTGTGAATTTTGTGACTAAGCCATTGTCCCCTTTCCGTAACGACCTTCCTTGACTTTAGGGGCCATTTTTGACAACCTCTAATATATATTTTATTCTGTTACATGTTATACTTAAAGATTAAATTTGTCTTAGTCATTGGTTAAAAAAAAAATTACGATTTAAAATGATATTTTTATCCATTCCTTAAATTATCCTGCCAAAATATGACTTCTCATTAAGTAATGAAAATAGCAGAACTAAACCATTAGCAAGTTCACATCAAAAAAATTGTCGGTTCATAGTAAAATGTCGCTAAGTGTGTTTTTGTGAATTTTGACCTTACTTATCGATACAAAAACGCCATTTTTTGCACCAAAATGACACGAACTCTTCTTTTATATACCAAATATAAGTACATTTTTCTCATTTCACAGAGGGAATCCTAGTACATAGTGATTTTATTGTATGGAATGTAACTTAACGACATTTTCCAATAAACCGACGATATATATTAGCATTAGAGTTTTAGATAAAAGAGTATGCTTCTAATATAGAAATATATTGGAAAATTGTTTTTTTAATAATGAAAAGCTAATTTTCTTTTAGAGTGTTATTATCTTTGTTCCTGTGATAAGATGGAATCTTTAGAGGGAGGGGTGAAAATAGTCTGGAGTTAAAAGTCAAATTTTTCATCGCGATTTGAATACTTCAAATAATTTAACATCAATAAAGTTGCATTCAATTACTCTGTTTAAAAATCTTTACACTTGAATACAGCATTATTTTGTATAATGATTTTCGTGTATACTAAAATTTGTAGTCGATATCTCATTGATAAAATCTGAAACTCGAATCATCCGCCTGTGCCAGATTTATTAGTGATTGCGTCGAGTTTATGAGATTTCATTGTTTTATTTAATGGTTTGTTTAGTTCAGGTGTAAATCCAATGAGGTCAGTGAGCTAGGTTACTTTTTCAAATAAAATAAAGTTTTCTAGAATATCGATTCTCTTTTCAAAACTATGATTTCATTGCGATTTATTCAGTTCGTTCTTTATTAATCTCTTCTAAGAATCGAGTTAAGTGAAATATTTAATATTCTCTCAAAAGTCTTCAGGTTTATGAATGTTTTTTTTTTTTTTTTGCAATAATGGATGCATTCTCCATACTGACTGTATGCTCCAGACTGTATTTCTGGATCATTTATATTTTTTTAGTTAATTTAACCAAACTAATGTGATTTTGTTCTCAAAGCACTAATGTATTTTTTAGTCTTATTTAATTAATCAATCTTGTACAAAAAAATATATATTTTCATGATCTTGAAGCTCATATCAGTATTTAACGAATCGAGAATCAGAGCTGCGGAACCAAGTCCTGAATTATAACCTTCCCTTCAGTTACTCCAGTTTGCTAGCAAGCACTTAAATCCGTTTTATATAGAATAAATAAAATGCTTCTTAAATTACGATTAAGAACTTTTTTTTCTGCATTACATACAGCATTGCGGCACATAGCACATTCTGATTGTATGTCATATGGATATAAATTCGGTCATTATTTTCAAACAGCATTAAAAGTTTTGAAACATTAATTATTATAAGCATTCTCATTATCACTATTTGTGGTACATTTCATTTCACTTTAAATACATTATTCTAAAGATGCGCCAGTTTTCAATAAACTTCCTTCATTAGCATGAGCTACGTAAAAAGATTCAAAGTGTTCTTCTAGAAAATTAAATATTTTTTTACTTAATACAAGATATATCGTACACAAAAGAATTGTAGATCCTTGAAAATATATGATACGATATATATGTACTAGAACTGAATTATCTTCCTTTGCAATTCATTTGTTGAATTTTTATTTTTCGGCTAACCCCTATGATTAATAAATCCTTTTAAGGTATATCAGTATGATATATCTGAATCATAAGAACATTAATAAAAATTGAATTAATGTATTAATCATTTAAAATAAAATTCAAGTAAATATTATTCTAATTCTTTTCCTAAAGTTTAAAAAAATATCTAATATATTCATGTATAAACTTTTATTATAATGTTATTGTTGCCATTAAATAAATTAAAATTTTAATCTATTATCAATATTTTTACAGTCTTGTGGAAGCACTTGTTTTTTTGTTTTTTTTCTTCTTTTTTTTAGTTGCAGAAACACAAAGCTATTGAAATAAAAACAAAACAAATTTATTGTTTTATAGCACAAGTTCCTACTTAGATACTACATGCCTTCTTAAAACTTTTAGCATTGATACACATTATAGGATATACATGGAATTAATCAATAATTCCAATAAAAAAAATTAGTTTATAAAAAATGCTGAAATTAAAAAAAAAATAAACTTTGATGACCTCCAGCGAATCTCTAAAGCGCATCAATACATTACCTTAGTCCAACATTCATTTCGGAAACCACGCTAAGAAAAAATTATTCTTTCTGAATTTATATTGACTTATTTAGAAATTCAAAATTGAATAAAAAACACATAGTTTTAGTTAGTTATTTCAGTTCTCCTTAATCTTAATCAGTTTTAATTGATAATTTGGCTCCATTAAATTCTTCAGTGATTTTATTTATAACCATTCCGCTGATTAACATATACTCCAAAAACAATGTTGAAGCCGAAAATTGCTATCCAGTCTTTAAAAAATAAGAAGATTAAATAAATATCAATTTATTTTTTTTTTTACAACCCTTTGACAATGCTATACATTATTCGTTTTTATGTAGTCTATTGAAAGGGACAAATTTATTGTTTCTAAAAATATATTTTATTTGATATGAATCACTTTAATGGTGATTTTGCAGGACTCTTATACATTTAATGGCCGTTCACGTGATATTGACATGCAATACGTGATGTTGAAAGTTGTTGTTATTTTTTTAAGAATTTTCATTTAGATAACGAAAAAATGTGCATAACGTTAATTATTCTAAATTTCTAAAAGGATGTTTGCACTATGTATTGTACGATTGGCAAGTTGTTAGTTCTTTGTCTTCATCTCTGGGATATATTATTTAAGATTTTGGAAGTTTTTAAATAGGTTTATGATTTCTGTAAGTAGAAAAAGGCCTTTCAGTCTCGATAAATAATTGCTTTATTTCAAATTTATCCAAATTAGCGCCTCTTTAGGTATCTGATTTTACATGTTATTTAAATTTTCATTCGCTTTTAACAGTGCACCCACTTGCACACTTATAGAAGAACACTGTCTATAAATAAATTAATTGAACACTAATATATTGCTAGTGTATTAATAATTATTATTATTATTTAATGATAGATTAAAAAAAAGGTTATTGTTTTTTTTTCTTTTGTAGAAATGATGTGTTTCGAACAAAAATATTGAACTATATTATTGGCTAAAAACATTTCTCGGTATTTCTATACCATCCATGCAGAATATGGTACTGAATCTTGTTCCTACGATTGTACATTTTGATCTAGTTTTATTGACACTTTTTTAGCAGTGAAAGACCGAAATTTTCGTCCAATTTAAGAAAGATAAGTTGTTCATTGTTAAATATAAGGCCATAAAGTTATCATATGCTGGATTGTGAAATCAAATACCAATGCAGTTCCATAATATGATGGATTGATAAATTTGATTTGAACTAATTCTCATCACTGTTACACTTTGTTATCTAGTACGTGCTAAAGAAATAAACCACGTTGGGGAACTAATTATGTTAATTTGTAGAAATAAAGTAAAAGTGAAATAACGAAAATTAAAATTAGATTACTTTGCAAATTCTTTTTTTTTTTTTTTTTTTCAAAAACCTTTCCAAATATTAATAAAAGTTGTGTGAAAATAAGTTTCATACGGTATTTTTTTAAAATAATCAATCGAACGATTTTTTGATTTTTTCATATTCCTGAATAAAATTAAAAATAAATTTATTTCATTGTGCCATTATTGGAAACAAAAAATTAAATTTTTATATTACAAATTTATTAACTATCTCCTCTTCCGAATCTTACACGATGTTTCCTCTTCAAACTGAATCCCAATGAAAACTTTTGGTAAAGAAAAGGATCTTAAAGTTTAATTCATTCCAAAAAAGACTTATTTAAGTTTCAATGGTTTTTTATTTCTTTAAAAATAATGAATGACTATCGAAAAAATATACTACAAAGAAAGAATTTATATGTTAAATAATAAAATCGAATAGAATACAACTTTATTC